CCATCACCAGATGAGCTGTTTTCTGAATCAGTTTGGCCAGACCTGCTACATGTTGTGTGCACGGCGGATGTCTTTTTTTCTGTGTTGTCTAGCATAACGCTAACATACATTAATGTTATCCTACCCCCCTCATGTTTCTGAAACAAGACACCATTTATCACTCCTCCTGTTTCAGAAACATCCAAATAGAAGGGTTTTCCGTAGTCAGCGAGAGCTAACTCAGCTGCTCTGCTGAGAGACTGTTTTATGTCAATAAATGTTCTTTCAGCCTCCTCAGTCCAGTCCAATGGAGCTGTGAGGTGTCTCATTCCTTTCTGTTTAACAAAGGCGCGCAAAGTTTGTGTTAGGCCTGTGTAGTTTGGGATGTAATTTCTGCTGTAACCTGTCAGGCCCAGAAATGACAGCATTTCTTTCACTGTCTGCGGTTTTGGATGATGTAGGATGGTGTCGCGGTGTGAATAAGAAAGGCCTGCTCCCTTCTGAGAGATAATTCTCCCTAGGAAAGATACTTGTTTTCACGTCACTTGGAGTTTGTTTTTACTTACTTTAAACCCGGAGGCATGTAGCTGTCGCAACACGGCTTCGGTGGCTTGTAACGAATCTTGTGCAGTATGACTTGCGATTAACAAATCATCAACATACTAGACAAGCACCGTGTCCTGTGGCAGTTCTATATTGCCCAGAGCTTGTTTTAACACTTGATTGAAAATCCCTGGTGAGAGCGCAAACCCTTGCGGCAGTCTCGTATATCGCAACTTTTCTCCACGATATATGAATGAAAATATGTCTCTGCATTCTTCTGCGAGGGGAAGGCAGAAAAAGGCGTTTGCGAGGTCCAGGCAGCTGAACCATTCATGTTCTGGGGTCAGGTTACTTAAGGCCAAATAGAGATTCGGTACTGGCACGGTGGGCGTGACCAGGAGTTTATTTATGGCTCTCAAATCATGTGCCATACGAAATTTGCCTGTACCTGGCTTTTGTACAGGTAAAATTGGTGTGTTCTAATCAGAGTATGAGGGTTCCAAGACCCCACTTTGTTTTAACCCCTCTATAGTTTCAGAAATTCCCTCTTCAGCGACGGGTTTGTATGGATATTGTTTTAGCCAAATGGGATATGTGTTTTGGACCTGAAACGATACGGGAGTGCAGTTTGTCAGTCCCACGTCTGTGGGTCCTGCAGACCATAATGATTCAGGCATTCTATCCATCAGCTGACATGCGAGCGGGTGGTCAGTCTGTTCACATCCATGCTCCATGGGGAGGACATCGTGCTGTAATAAAGCTACATCATTTGCTTCAGAATCCACTGAATAACACTTACAGCTAGGCGAGAACCAGACACGTGGTGCAGCTGTTTTTACCCAGTCTCTGGCTTCTGAAGCCATTTTTACCATTAGACCCAAATCTTTAGCCTGATATTTTGGATTTAAGCCCAGTGATATGTGAGGCACTGCTTCTGTGCTCATCATATACCAAGCTTCTTGGTCTAGAGTTAAGTTTACAATAGCTGCCAAAAAAAAAAAAAAAAACCCTACACTAGAATGTCACTATAATAAATATTTCATAATAATGGTGTGGAGAGGATGGCTGTAAGGGGAGAAGGGAGGCCATCAAAAAAAAAAAAAAAAAAAAAAAAAAAAAACAATAGCTGCCACCCCTTGTTTTCCCACATAAATGTTACCTGTTTTAATTGACCAGATTTTCCCTTGTAGTTGCTCTGCAAAGTGATCCTGAAAAACCTCGTCACCTTTTCTGTCATAACAGAGGGTTACATATAAGGGGTCTGAGAGCGGCGTGTATGGCTCAAGAGTCCGGAACCACGGCTCCCACGCCAGGTACGCAGAGAAAACACCCATTCCCCCAGGGATCTCAGGTTCAATCAGCCCCCAGTAGATGTCAGCATACTTGTCTTGGACGGGTTGGATCACACATTGAGAGTGGGAAATGGTGACCTGGCCACAGTTCAAGGTGGTTCCATCCGGGAGCCGGACAATCAGTCCATCAGGTGCACAAAGAATGGACGCTCCAAGCTTTATGAGAAGATCTCTCCCAAGGAGATTCGCTGGTGCATTTTTCGCAATCACAAAAGGATGGGTCAGTGTTTGTGTTCCCACTTTAGTGGTAAGGGGAACTGTTACAGGCAGTCTCTGTTTTACCCCAGAAAATCCAACAACGTCCACTGACCACTGTGACATCTGGCAACCAGGTGGTGTGTGGTTGATTGACGGCTGTTGTTCCCACATTGGCTGGTGGGGAGGTGGGCCTGGGTACATGCAATCTCTCGCCCAGTGCCCCTGCTGACCACAGAGGAAACAAGCATCCCCCTGCCATCCCCAGCGCGAGACGCCACGTCCCCAACCCCTCCGCGCCGCACCGCCACCCCTTCTCCCTCGTCCAGCTCCCCTGGCTGGATGTCCCCCTCTGGCCCGCGGACCAGATGTTTCAGACCACTGTTGCACAGCAAATACCCCTAGTGTGGAGGTTTCGACACCCTCCTGAACCACCATTTGTTTTTTCTCTTTCACTTTTTCTCCTCATTTATTTATGTCTGGCGTCATTCAATTTAAGCTTAACCAACTGATTTTTCATGTCCTGTAACTCATTTGCTTCCTTCTATCTCTGTTTTTTAGCATATTTAAGACGATGTACCACATGTCTCTCCCACCTCTCAGCATCAGCTGCAAGCAAGTCAGCGTTTTTTTCGAGGTCGTCCACAACGTCACTAGGCAAACCTTCAAGTACAGCCTTCCTAAAATACGGTTTTTGTTGTTCGGACTGTGCATGTCTACCAGTGATTTTCAACCAAGCATCCTGAATCTGAGGCTCCTCTCAGAAGTTGTTGGTTCTGTTCAGCCAGCTGCTGGCTGATGTCTCTCCTTCGTTCTGCGTCCATCCTTCGGCTCATCCCTCCTTCATCACCTGCATCCTCTTCCACTTCTGTCCAGCTCTCATTCCCTATGTGTATGGTCCATGATGTCACGTGCATTACTGGGTACACTCCAGCAGGGGGCGCCGTTGGACAGGTCTGAGAAGTCACATAGGGTGGAGGTTGTTTCCCTGTGTACACCTCCAGATTCAACCCCTGCACACTCTGGCAAATGAGTGCCAGTTCTTCATAAGCTTTTTTGACTCTTGCATGGTTCTTTTGGTCCTTTTTAATTTGTCTGTGGCCCCAGAAAGACTTGCATGTCACCATTTTTTCTGCGAGTCCCTGCATCTCCAATTGTATTTGCTTGACTCTGTCCCACACTATTCTTGTGAGTGGCTGTCTGGAGTTCTCATCTTCTTTTTTTGACCAGCTGTGTCAACATTGCATTTAGTTCTCTCCTTCTTGCTCCGTCTCTCGCATAAACTCGGTTGATTACCGCTACTACCCGATTTGATTGTTTTTTTCACGGTTTTATATACAGTATCACATTACTCTGCTCCAAGAGCTCCATCTCTCATTAAGCATAAACCACTCTCATACGGCCCTCAAACTTTATTTTGTAATCCTTTCACTCCACGAGCTGCTGACCACGCATTGATCGGAGTCCACACAAGCCTCGACCCAAAACAGTGTCAGCTTTTTGTTGCACTGATCAAAACACTGATCAGCCACCTCCACCCGAGGTGTCTTTGCTCGTTTATTCACACACAGAAATGAGCCTCACTCGTTTCACACACACACAGACACACACACACAGACAAGATGAGGGGTTTTTTTTGCATTTTAATTGTTTAAATTTTTTCTTTCGCCTTGTGTGCGGAATTTTAAATTATGAGTTTTATTTTTATTTTTTTATAGCGTGGTTTCTCCTTTTATTAATATATTCACGCATTTTCCACGGTCCCCGACTCGCTTTTTAATCCTAGTTTTATTTGCCAATTCCGTCTGTTCAAGGGGTCCCTCAATTCCCCAGCCCGACGTCAGCTGAGCTCACGTCACCCAGTCTATGTTTAACTACCGGCCCATCGACCGATAGGAGGTGCGCTACTGCAGAGATACTACTAGGATTTTTTTTCTTCCCTTATTTCTGTTTTTGGCCTTCTTAGTCTCTTTTTTTCCTCTTATCTCTTATCTTCACTTTTCCCTTTGACCTTACTCTTAGCGCTTCTCTCTTTTTCATTGTACTCTCTTATTCTATATTCTGCACACTTTAAGCTCCGTGCTCAATGCCTCTAGTTATTATATTAACATTAGCTTCTATTCCTCCTTTATTTCAGGAGACAGAACACATCATGCCCATCCAGAGGCTCAATTTGGTTTACGGCTGAATAGCGGAGTTTTTGGGCCTTTCGGCCAACTTAGGTAACCCGCTTACCTGTTTTAATGTGAGGCGCCTCTCCTCTGGATGCGAACAGTCGCTCCGCTCATGGGTCGAATCTCACCGCTCCTCGTGTGCTCGTAGATCATCACGTCGGGGTCACCATTTGAAGGGTTTGGGGTGTTCAAAATGACCCGAGCACAGAATTTCAGGAGCACTTCACCTTAGTATTAAAGATTTAATTGAGACAAAGTTAAAGTATGCAGATATTACATGTAATCAGAATGCAGTCTGAGGAACAAGTCAGAGCGAACCTTGCCTGGTCAATCAGCCTGGTTTGTTCAACCAAACTTTGTGTCTGAGCGTGATTTATAGGTTTGTCATGTCCCGCCCTTTCGGGTTCGGACAGACTTGTGATTGGATGTCAAACCCTCTTGATGGTCCGAGTGACACCATGTTCAGCCACTCAGGAGCAGATCTTATCTCCATGGTAACCTCCATGGTAACTCTGAAGGCCGCAGACAGCCTTCGGCT